ATGACGAACTCCAACAGCCCTGATGAGCAGTCCACCAAGTTTTCCAAGCTTGATTACGGAGCTCTGGGTGGAATTCTCTACGCTCGCTTCGGTATTCTATTCGTTGCAGTACTGACAGAAACCTTGGCTGTGCCTGTGGCCATGGACCAATACGCCTGGTCAGAAAACACGGCTATGATAATGGTAGGCTCGGCTCTCAGCATTGCTGGGGTCCTGAACATTGCCGTGTACATTCTTGGTGGCATACTCTCAAAGAGGGTAGATGAGAGACTTCTCTTTCTGGGTCTAGGTATGCTTCCTGTTGTGATAGGAATGTTCCTTTTCATTCCTTGGGGGAAAAATATCATTCCTATGCAAACGTGTGACACGGGGAATGAAACCACATCGTTTACAAGCGTTACCGAAACCACCACTATTGCAGATCTCGTTGGAGCTGGACCGTTATCGTTATCAGCTAACGAAGACAACCAACACTGCTCTGAAGGTTGCCCGGAAATACAAGACTGGTGTCACCACACTCCCCAGTTACCGGAAATACAATTCATGATCGGTTTTTTCGTGGCTTTTATAGGCTTCGCCAGCGCCCAAAGCTTCATGGTGGGAATATATTCCAAGATGTTGGGCCCCAAACCTCAAGGCGTGTGGATGGGAGTAATTGGCGCCGCTGGTAGTTTGTCCCGCGTGTCAGGACCAATTGTCGTCTCATACGTGTACTTCGAACTGGGTACAAGATGGTGCTTCGGTATATTGACTATCGTGACAGCGGCGGCTTTACTAGGGACGACTTTACTTTATCGTCGCCTAGTACCGATGAGAGTGCTAAGCCAACGGGACAGCCAGGGCTATGATGGTCCCGGCGCTGAAGGGAATAAAATATAAGGACTTCATGTTAATCTCATAATTTAGCTCTTGCTATGTATACGTACAATAAATACTTTAAATATTAACTGGTGATGACATGTTATCTTGAATCCCTTACTAATAATTGTTATAATGTTGATCTTTGATGAGTCTTAAGCCTTCCCTAGGGGCATCACAGTGATATTATCAGATCATCCAAGTGGATGAACTTTGATTTTCACACGATATTGTGCATTATAGTTGATATAACATGGATGAAGGGTGGATTTGCGTTACAGTTTATATAACATGGACGAAGGGTGGATTAGCATGATATACTATTGAGATACACTAAGGAAGCTTTAAACCTGTGATTGAGAGCCAAGTAGCTACTTTCTGAAACTTTCCATATAGTAAAGTTATTAGCCTGCTGGATTAAACAAAATAATTATTTGTAAATAATTAAGATTAAGGAAAAATAGGATTCAGGACCTGCCCGAGACGCTATGCGTGCTAGTGGCTTTACAAGAATGTAAGAACTCTTGTATATATAATAAAATTACGTGTCAATTCATAACTGGGCAAACAATTGTCTCTGACATGTCTGTCTCTCACTCTCTTAACTGTCTCTAGCGTAACTGCCTCTAACCCACAGCTGTCTGTAACTGATATAACTGGCTCTATCTGACATAACTGTCCTCAAATAACATAACTGTCTCTAACTAACATAACTCTCTGATACAATATAAACACACACCAGAACGGCCTTGTTATGTAAGAACATAAGAACATATTAGCACGTAAGAACATAAGAATAAAGATAACTGCAGAAGGCCTATTGGCCCATACGAGACAGCTCCTATTTATAACCACCCAATCCCACTCATATACATGTCCAACCCACGCTTGAAACAATCAAGGGGGACCCCACCTCCATCACGTTACGCGGTAATTGGTTCCACAAATCAACAACCCTGTTACCGAACCAGAATTTACCCACAAAAAATATGTAACGTGACACATGGTCCCTGTGTCCCCCCCCCCCCCCCCCCCCCCCCCCCCCGCTTGCAGGACACACTGTTAATGTACCGTCTTCCTGAATGTTGCCAGAACTAGAAGAACAGTTCATTTATGAGCTGAGAATATTGAGTGATACATTTATCCCGACACATACGCGTAGAATGTCTCCGTTAACTTGCTTCACGAGGGAAATATATTTTAATCATGAGATAACTGAGAGATAGTGAGATTATGTATATGTCGATAAGGCTTTGCTGATAATTATACCGCTGCGTTTGTGAGGTATTCAGCGTGTGGTTGTCTCGGGGAGGCCTCTGACTGGTGGCAGAACTTGAAACACTGCAGGTGAGGTGTTCAGTGTTCACAGGTGAGGTGTTCACAGGTTCAGTGTTCACAGGAACGTGTAGGCAGTGAGTGTCAGTCGATACCAGCACTCACACTCGAGCCATATATCACTATATGTACTGTGAGTGTGAGTGTGTGTGTGAGTGTGTGTGTGTGTGTGTTCAGGTTTGTGTCATGCTCACTACTGTCAAGACTGTCATACTAGAACACCAGTGTCAGGGCAAGTAGCCTCAGTTTCCACTCTTGCATCTTCACTTTCGAATATTTTCAACGTTTCAACGATTAAATAACCTTCTAAAGCCGTATATTATATATTAATTGAATAATGCAACGTTGAACATCAAATATCATATGAACAACTGTCATATATTCATCTCCCTGTTTACGTTTACAAAATGTTACTTACAGCTGGAAAAACTTTTTTCCACCAAAAAAACTTTTTTTCACAAAAAAAAACTTTTTTCCACAAAGACAAACCTGCTAGATATCGTTACCATTGTTCGTTATCACTCAGAACGCACCATTCACGTGAGGACATTATGAAGTCTCTAACATTGGTGAGCTTATAAGATAACTGTCTGTTGTTATTGCATGTAAGTGGACTAAAGATCATTAAGATATGATCACCACTACGTTAAGTCTTACCTATCAGCGTCAATATTACCGAGAAGTGAGTAGTGGGATATTGACCTATTCTAACTGATCAAAAGGGGAACAAATTTCGTCAAATGATGAGCATTAACCAACATCTAAATCACAAAAATACACGTAAAACAGTATTGATGTATCAGAGAATGTTGATTGTCTAATATATCGTGGACGGAGACATCAGTAGCGTTGGGAGAGAATGAAACTTCACGTCTGACTTAAGAATGCAATCTTCAATTTAAGTCCTTCACGCTGGAGATCTGCATCACGTAGCCAGCGTGACGTTCTGCAGGGTGCACATGCAACCATGCACGATCCGTTAGTGCAGGACTTACGTCTCTTTTAATAGGTATCTCTGGACGGGCAGCTCAAGGGTGTTGCATTGGCTATTGCACACCAGTTCCATGAGCTGTCAATGCGGGTCATACAAGTCATCATTAGAATTCATCATTGCATTCTTCAGGCTTGGATTAAAAAGAAGAATAAGGTGGTAGATTCATGGTGTGGCGAGTCCCTTGAGGTCATGTGAAATCATCTCAAGCCATGACCTCATCAAAGGTCATGTCAGGTCATCCCAAGCCATCCATCCGTCTCAATGCTTTTCAAGTTCAAGTGCGTTTATTGAGACAATAAAATACATCAAAAAAAGGAATGGAATAGCTTAAGGCTATTTCTACCCTCAGTATCCCAATCTCTACCCAAAAATTTTCCATCATCTCTATCTTGTATAACAGATAGAGTCATACCAGAGAGATACCTGTTTGTTTAGGTATCTTAGCTCGTTTTCCATTGGCTTTGGGACATATGGAAGACTTAGATAGAGGACTCATGCTTCTCAGGCAGCTTTGAGTTCAGTGACCGTCATTCTGAAGTGAGAGTCCTTCACAGTAGGTCGTGTTCTCGTAGCTATCTCGGCCCAAGATAGCTAATGATAGCACCTCCAGGGACTCTGTTAAGTCTCTCTACACTTTGCATTCAAGTTAACTGGTTGATACCTGGTTGATACCTGGTTGATGGGCTTCTGGGAGTTCTTCTACTCCCCAAGCCCGGTCAGAGGCCAGACTTGACTTGATTTGACTTAACTACTGTACGACCCTCCCTTCTCCAATAGCGTCACGAGCGGCTTGACTCAAAGTTGCGTTAGTGACTAATGTCAAAGTCAGTGTTAGTGACTAACAAACTCTGCGTTAGCGCATGATTGTAAGACACTAAGGATGGTCGACAGTGACGGGATTGTCTTAGTGATTGTTAGATTAGCTAACTATACCAATCGTGACTGCGCTTGTTCATGCAGATGATTGGTAATAATCTTAACTTGCTGCCGATTGTGTGTTAAGTGTGAAATGCTACACCTTGAAGTGCCTTGTTTACAGCCCAAGTGTGTGTGTACTTTATGACGTGAAGGTCAAATCGCTTCGGTTAGTGCTTCGAGCCGTCGTCATTGTTCATTGTACCAAGTGTCGCGGCCCTGTCTCTCTCTCGCGTACCCCCCTCCTCCCCCCCGCGATCATTGTATTGATCACCTAGCTACAATGATGAGTAACTTCGCACGTGTTCACTACGTATTCACCACGTGTTCACCACGTGTTGTCTAGTCCTTGAGAGGAGAGGCAGAGGAGGAGGAGCCCACCATCCATCCACTCATCGAATGTATAATGGTTCGAATGATGATGATGATGATGATTCATACGAATTACATCCTTCGATGAATGTATGAATGATGAATCATTCATTCATCGAGTAGCGTGTGTGACGACATTCAGAGACTTGTTCAGGGATAAAAGGATTACCCCTAATCCTACACACAGACAGACAGACAATCTCTCCTAAAGTATAGATTCTTCCGGAGGCAAAAAAATACACAGGGATTGTTAATAGAACAATGAGACAGAAACAATATATAATCAAAAGAATAGAACATTGAACCAAAAACAATATACAATCATTATCAGTAGAAAATATAATAAAATCATTTTGATAAATCTATTTGTATGACAGTTTTCTTGGAAACTTCAAAATTATAAAGATAATCTTCATGTACATGTTTGTATTTTGAGTGAGTTCCATTATTATTAACAATATAATTAGAAAAGAAGTCTGAGTAAAGTAGATTTGAGGTCTAGAATAGAGGTCTGAGTAAAGTAGAATAGAGTGTTAGTCCACTACGGGCTCACCATAGCCCGTGCTACTTGGGAACTTTTGTTCCGAGTAGCTGAATCTAAAAACAACAACAACAGTAGAATAGAGGTCTAAAATAGAAGTCTGCGTAGAGTAGAATAGAGGTCTAGAATAGAGGACTGAGCAGCAAGTCGTGGCTATTGCTTATCACCCTCCAGCACTGTATGCCCAAACAGCTTCACTACATTATCTAAAAACTGTGATGACAAATCATGAAGTAAGGCGATTGCATCATGGAGATCTTGGATGAGAACCCACATGTGTTGGGGGAGTAGAAGAACTCTCAGAACCCCATCAAGCAAGCAGATATGTGGCGTGGGTATCCAGGAATGACACAGCACATATGGATCCAATGAAAACATCAGGGCGTACAGATTAGATCTAGCAGAGGTCTTTATGCCTTCCTGGACTTTCTGATTGGGGCTGGCATGAGAGATTCGGAACAACCAGGATAGGGGGCTGGTATGAGGGCTTCCGACCGTCCACAAGTGGGATGGTATGTGGGATACATCTGGCTTGAGGAACAGGAGGGGTTACAGAACATTCAGATTAGGGCTGGAATGATGGGTTTCTATGCGTCCAGATTGCATAAGGGCCTCACGACATGATACAGTTGAGGGAGTTAACTCCCTGCTTCATTGTCAGTCCTGGTTCAAGGTAACATTGTATCGTCATCTCCGATAACAATTGATAACGTTATGATGGGAGTTGCTCAGCGCTGGCACGTCACCCTCAAACTCTAGTTGGATAAAAAAATATTAATTTAAATAACGTGACTATGAAGGTTGAATATAAAGAAATCCTGTTTTAATTGTGTATTATTAATCAAACAAAAGGATCAGGAAGGATCTACAGCGTATACAAGAAGGAGGAGGAAGGCGAGATAACACGATAAACAAGCTTGAACAACAAACTGAAAAAAAAATATTATTATCAATTGGCACCTTAGCATACACCTTGCCCACAGAGAAGCAAGCCAACGATGACTAGGACAATAAAGTGTAAAAAAAACACAGCCATTGAGATGTTTGTGGGTGATTTAAAACACAATTACCCACTCTCATACAAGGAGTTTATATGTTTTAAAAAATAAATAAATATGATAAAAAAAAATAATAAAAATAAATAAAATATGATAAATATAATAATAAAATAAAAAACGAAAATAAAAAAAAAAACGCGTTTCACTTTGTTTATGCACAGATTAATAGTAATAACCAGAGGGTTAATATTAAACAAGGGTTATTATGAAGTAAGCACGAAAAAACAATGTTTTAAAAAGTAATTATTAATCTCCATGTCTTACGGCTCTCATGTGATTTTTTTGTAGATCTTACTCACTACTTACAGTGGGAGAAGCAACACTTTGCAAGCAACACAGAAATACAAAGTCACACATACACCATAACTATACAGCTTTTAACCCTTGATTTGCTACTCTGTAAAGAATCCAATCCAACCTAACCTAACCTAACCTAACCTAACCTAACCCTAACCGAATCAGCAACGTAGTGCCCTATATAATTGCTGATAAACTTCTTAATAAATATAAACATTCAAAGACTGAAAAAGATGCAGAGATTTGTAAACAAAACCGTAACCCAAACAACCCACCTAACCCATCGAGTCCGTTGCATACAAAATGCAGATGTTTGCGAGCCTTTACTGACATTGTAGATTGCATTAATAACGTTGTTTACCATAATGTAAACAAAAAAAACCCACGACCAATTGAGATGAACGATTAAACGAGATAACACTTTGAGTAAACAAATCATTACTATTGATCTCAACGATGGAAAAGATTGCAGAAGATGTCAACAGAAACAGAGTTACAAAACCTGGCTAATGATTATTGTATAAACAATTCTGTGAGACAGAAGATATAAAACAATACAGACACTAGACGGAATATAAGATACAACAGATTAAATCACACAGCCAATAACAGAATCGAAAATGTCAGAACGGTTACTATACTACAGAAGTATGCAGTCATTTACATAAGGAAACAGAAACGGAATAGAATGTCATTGCCAACATACAAACAAATGCAGAAAATACTCCTTAAACAGGATCATTCCACTTGAAATACACTGCTGTTATTTCCACTTGAAATACACTGTTCTTATTTCCACTTGAAATACACTGCTGTTATTTCCACTTGAAATACACTGTTCTTATTTCCACTTGAAATACACTGCTGTTATTTCCACTTGAAATACACTGTTCTTATTTCCACTTGAAATACACTGCTGTTATTTCCACTTGAAATACACTGTTCTTATTTCCACTTGAAATACACTGCTGTTATTTCCACTTGAAATACACTGTTCTTATTTCCACTTGAAATACACTGCTGTTATTTCCACTTGAAATACACTGTTCTTATTTCCACTTGAAATACACTGCTGTTATTTCCACTCAGAAACGCGTTTAATTTCATTAGTCATCAGGGGCTTGATTTGTCAGGCAGTTGTACAATGACTTACGAACCTGTACAACTTTTTCTCTTCAGCATTTAGCGAGTTTTTGTACATTTACTAAACAGTTCATGAGCTGCGAAGCACTAGGAGGCTGTTAATAACATTTGATTCTTTATAACTATATTAATATTTGATTGTTTTTTTTAACTTCATTAACATTTGATTGTTTATAAATATATTAACATTTGATTGGGAAGTATCGATGCTGATAAGCTGATTAATAAATGTAAAAAATGCTGATAAACATCTTAATAAATGTAAAAAAAATGCTGATAGACATCTTAATAAATGTAAACACTCAAAGACTGAAAAAAATACAGAGGTTTGTAAATAGAGCTATAAATGAATACAGAATCCTAGCCCAGAGGCCCAGCCCCCACCAGAGCTAGGGGAAGCCTCTAGCAGGGAAGCTTGCTAGGGAAGCCCTGCTAGGAAGCTCCAAGCAGGGCTCAAATGTTCTTGTGGAAGGCAAGGAATGCTGCAGAATGGAGTGATACATTTGATAATTAATGCGCAAGAATATCTAAGATTATTTTTATTATTACCTACGAGAAACAGTGATCCACAATGGGAGCTCATTTGAACCATGCAAAATTTTAGCCATAGTTACACCTCATAGCCATATATATATATATATATATATATATATATATATATATATATATATATATATATATATATATATATATATATATATATATATATATATATATATATATACATATATATATATATATATATTCGTAAGGGTAAAAATATTCATTTGGTGTATATATTAGGAATATTTACACCCAAAATTAGTCATATATTCACCCAAAAACCACCGTAACTACTATGTACAACAACCCTGCAACTGCTATGTACAACAACCCTGCAACTGCTATGTACAAAAACACCAGCTAATATGTACAACAACTGTAACTAATACATAGTTTTTTGTTATATGTAACTAAATTTTGTGACATCACAGAATATCGATCAGAAAATGAGTATCTTAAGTAGACAAGTGTACACATATAAACTAGTGGTAAGTGTCTTAAGTAGTCAAGAATAGTCATAAACTATCCGAAGAAAGCTAATATACTAGTTATACTAGTTATAGTACCCTTAGTTAGGTACCCTTACTTATACTAGTTAAGTACCCTTAGGATAGCCAAAAAGATACCCGTAATACACTTTTAGGAATTTGATAGAAAATTTTAGTTTTTTTGTTAATTTGAATAAAGTAAAACGTCCTCTTTTCTTACAGGTCGGTGTTCAATCCCCGACTATCCAAGAAGGTGGGCACCATTCCTTTCCCTCTTCCTATCCTATATCCATATTCCCTCATCCCTTCCATGTGCTATATAGTCGTAATGGTTTAGTGTTTTATCTTCATAATTCCATTACGTTTGAATAACGTGAGGATAACTTCCAAATACATTTGTGTAGATATCACATGATGATACTAATTTGCGTTTCCGATCCCACAGGTGGAACCGGTAGCCTTATAAGAAGAACCACAACACAGTATTGGATCTTCTAGCATCTCTTAAGTGCTGTCCCAAGAAAGTGCTGGCTGAACTTTGTACCCTTGTTGAAAAAAAAAGTTGAGTTCCTGCACATAACTCAAGAAACCAGAAAATGATTTGCAGCTAAACTTTTTCTTACAAGTTATAGAAACTAATATTTTGTTTTCCTTCGTTAATCTTCGAGTGAATAATACGATTAAAGAAGAAGAAGAATTGATAGATACACAAAAGCAAGAACGTGATTAATATGTGATTAATATGTGATTAATTCAAGTTCAAGTATGTTTATTTGAGATAAGCAATAAATACATCTCAAAGGGATAGAGTAGCTTAGGCTATTTCTACCCCCCCCTAAGTGATTAATAATATCAGCGGGGCATTGCCGTTTTCCGAACGCTGCAGAACCCTCTGGCCGTTTTCTCAGGGAAAACGGAGGTGTCACTCAGGGGGGGTGTCTCTGTCATTACAAGAAAACCCGAAGGAACTCCAGCAGAATGGGAGGGGTTCTGGGAACCAGTGGTTCACTGGTGATTGACCACACCATGGACGACGTGCCTCTACACCAAATGAGGAATGATTCGCTCAGACATGGTTCCATCGCTACGATCACCGGAGGGTAGGTACTCACCATGTTATCCCGGTTCATCGCTTTGGCTCAAGCACTGGTTCAAACCGCAGGTCATACGGCAAGGAATTGTTAGTTTACATAGCAGGTAGTCTGGTAGTCTGTCAATTCTCGGACCAGTAATATTTGTAGTTTTTTCAGAGTAAAAAAGTTGCTTAGTTTAACATGCGTGAAAGATGCGGTTTTCTACTATGAGTGAATTAGTTTACTATGGAGTGGAGGTTGAAAGTTTGTTTCCTTCTATGGGTGAGTTAAGAACATAAGAACAAAGGCAACTGCAGAAGGCCTATTGGCCCATACGAGGCAGACCCTATTTATAATTTAGTTGCAAGTTCCAGGCCAAAACCTTGAGGCAGTTCTGGGTTTGAGTGAGCGAGTCAATGAGTGAGTGAGTGAGCGAGTGAGTGAGTCTGTGAGTGAAAAAAATCCGTTGATTGATTTACAGTTGAGAGGCGAGCCTAAATAGCCAGACCTCAACCTCCGAAAGCACAACTAGTTGAATACACACACGTATACACAGTATCTAGAACTCATTTTCCAGATAACACAAACAGCTAAAAAAAAAAAAATCATACTCTCGACTTATGTAAACAAGGTTTTAATGGAGTACCTTACACCTCTAATCTGGTCGACTCCCAGAAGCAAACAAACTCGCTTAATACGTTTTTTTAAGATTGATGTTAAACCAGTCCCTTTACGACATTCCAGGGACTCACCTCCTGCCTACAAAGACGACCCAGCTAGACTGCTAGAGAAACCAGAGGAGCGGAGGGCGCGGAAGAGATCCCACTGGGTAGCTTACACCACCATGTTCGTCATGTCTATCGGGTTTTCCATTGTCCTCAGTGGCGTCTGGCCTTACCTTCACGAGGTCAGTGTGTGTTTCAGTATCCTCCTCTCGCTTTATAACGATATTAATATGTACATTTATAATGCATATTTCTAATTATTTCGCCGGGAGACTATTTGAGTGATAGACGTGGCGTTATTTATCACTTAACAGCTGGATAAAAATCTGCAAAAGGAGTCGTTGGGTTGGGTCATTGCAGCGAATCCTCTGGGACAGATGCTGGCGTCTCCTCTTCTTGGTCTGTGGGGAAATAAATCTGGCAGTATCAGGTAACACCATATATATATATATATACATATATATATATATATATATATATATATATATATATATATATATATATATATATATATATATATATATATATATATGCACTACGTAAGGAATCTCTCATGAATCGGTAAAAGGCACCATTAGGTGTCAAAAAGGTAACAAAAAAGAGGCCTGGTCGAGGACCGGGCCGCGGGGACGATAAGCCCCGAAATCATCTCAAGATAGGTGAGATGGTGTTCACCATTTACCCAATTATGTACTGTACGTGAGGGGCTGGCAATGCTAGAAACGATTACTTAATTCCATTCACTACCTTCTTAACTGTGTTGCAAAGTTTTTTTTTCTAGATTTTACAAAAAAAATATACGCTCTATAATATAATAAAATATAATAATAATATAATAATATAATAATAATATAATAATAATATAAAATATAAGCCATGCGGTCATTAACTAAATGTCATAATTTCAAAGATATATTTACACCTAAATTACCTAGCCTCCTCAATAACTGGATTACTTTACAGAGACCATCAAAGACTGGTATAATATGTCGTTGGTGGATAATTGATGTCATGTCATCCTAAGAAAGAAATGCAGGTCTCCAGCAACACTTAGGCATAAAGTTTATAAATGTATTCCACGGTGCAGATAACCTAGTCAGCCTTCCCCCCTCTAGCGAGAAACATGATCATGATGTTTCATCATCATGATGATGAAACATCATGATGATGAAAATCATCATCATCACTATAGCCGTTATGAGAAGAGGCCAGCAAGAAGCGGCCAACATGTTGAAATCAATGCCTTTTACTTCGGGATTCCACACGTGTAGTGGCAGCTAGGCTATGTAGCAGGAGCTAGGTTATGTAGCAGAAGTAGATATTGCCAGCATTACTGTAACGCAGAGCTCTGTGCTGCTCATCTGCACTTTTATCCATTCATGTACTCTCACTACAGGGACGATTTATGCAAATGAGTTGAGCTGGGTGATCACACCCCCTCTCCCTCTCTGCACAATGATTAAGGAATTAACCCCTAAAGCCTTTCCAGTGAGTTCAAAATATGTTAGCTAATATTTTTGTGATTATACTCTTACTATTTCCTCAGATTTCCTCCAAGATGACGATAAGAATTTCCATTGAATAAAACTCACCATTAGAATCCTAGACTACTCTTATGTCTCTTCCAACTTAAATGTTTTTTGTGAAAATCCACATTGATAAAGTCTACTACTTTCTTTTCGTCGAAAAAAGTTATAAAATAAATGTTAGTCTGTTAGTTATGAATGATTTCCGGAAAACCCATGCATGGAATTTTTAACTAGATTGTTTCTTTATGTGGATTCGAATAATTGCTTCCGTGAGTTAAACCAGCTCCCAAAGTTGATTTCACTTGCCGTTAATTACACGCAATTATCGTTTATACATTGTTTCTTTTTATACACTGGCGCAACCTCTGCACATTTCCACTCATGTGAAACTGTTATTTCGGGTCATGAATAACTTACTGCAATACTAATAGATATCATAATTTAAGCCTTAACTGTGATATTATTGAATTGTTCTGGTTTTCATATTTCTTCCTATCTACATCAACAGGTTGGCCTGCCTCAGCACCGTAGTTATGTTCATCTTTGGCAACATCATGTACTCGTTACTGTCGTTGTTCAACAACATGGGAGAAATGGCACCGTACTATGCTATGATCGTCTCGAGATTCATCGTTGGTGTCAGCTCAGGTGCCATTCAATTCAACTTTGCCGTTTTCTATTATTTTATTTCTGAATGCGAGAATCTCGTCAGTTATTTTGAGTTACCCATTAAATATATTGTGCATAAACAACAACAAAAAATGTATTATTGTTTGCATAGAAGTTTACTGGAAGCCATAACTGCCTCACAGGTTACACTGATGACCTGTGTGGTACACAGCTGTTTCATTGTCAAAATTAGATTCTTTAGCAGTGCTATAGGTAAACAAAGTTCTTAGAAGTCAAAACGTAAATGAAGCACTTTAGATTTTGACACTCTCCGTGTACTGGCTGTCACTTGACCTCCTTTTGTTGTCTTAATAAATGTTACCTTTTGGCTCCGCAGACCAAACACTTAAAAAATAATGCATGGATATTGACACTACCTTTTAAATGGCATACACTCATTTATCTTCCACTCTTTAATGGGTAATCACGGCGCCATTACCTGTACCCCCCTTCACTCCTGACTACCACTCTGAATGCTGAGTACCACTCTGAATATTGAGTGAAGCTGTGAATGATACTGTAAATGTTGGATATAAAAGGTGAAAATTGAATAATGCATTTACCTCTGAGTGAAGCTGTTATACATGTTGAGTGAAGTAGTTACTGATGCCCCACTGTGCCTACAGCCAACGTCACACTGTGTCGCTCCTACCTGGCCTCCTCCACCACCCTGCAGGAACGCACTGTGGGCATCTCAATCATCGCTGCTGCCCAAGCCCTTGGCTTCGTCATCGGGCCAGGTCAGTCCCACTGGTGATTAGGTCCCTAGGTCACTACTGGTGATTAAGTCACTTGGTCACTGTTAATGATTTGGACACTTGGTCACGTACGATTAAGAGAAACGAGCGACAAACTCACGCAATAAATGGATGCCAATTTAGATTATAATTTGATTGCTCTCTCATGCAGGTATCCAGGCGATACTAACTGTGGCAATCCCTGACGGCGTGGACACGGGAGTGAGCTGGTTTGTTTGGGACAAGTTTACAGCAGCCGGATGGGTAGCTGGTTTACTAGGATTTATTAACCTTGTACTACTGTTGCCTTGCGTCTTTACGGTAAAGAGTATATTATTTTCCGTTTCCATGCTAAATATATTTTATAGTGAGTTGACATTTTATCTTAACTTTAAAATTATAAATTTCTCGTGGACTTGTTAATTCAAATTTTGTCTAATATTTTTTTTTTTTGCAGGAGTACAACATTGCAGACAAGGAGCGCGAAATGTTAAAATTATCTCGCCAAGACGACGAGAACATGAAGCTGCCGAAACCGAATTACGTTGGCATTTGTGGAGTACTTTTTGCCTTTTTCATCGTCCTGAACATGTACGTGCTGCTAGAGACCCTGGCCGTGCCCTTCGTGATGGACCAGTACGCCTGGTCGGAGTCCAAGGCTATGATTGTGGTGGGTGTGGCGCTCAGCGCTGGAGGTCTCTTGTCCAGCTTCATATATGTCCTTAACGGGATACTCTCAAAGAAATACGATGAACGAAAGGTAGTGATTTTACTGGGATTACTTCCAATGATTGTGGGGACTTTCCTCTTTTTGCCTTGGGGGAATGGCAAGATTCACATACAAGTGTGTCACCTTGCAGGTGATAACACCACGACAGTTATGACCACTACAGAGCTGACTACTGCAAGCGGAACACCGGAAACTGACTACATCAGTTATCTCTTGGCTGAAGCTACCAACGACACAACACAAATATGTGACTACGGATGCCCCGCAAGTCAGACATGGTGCGAAAATACCCCGAAACTCCCCGAAGTGCAACTTCTGATCGCGTTCATAATCACCTTTTCCGGTTACCCTGTGGCTCAGGGCATAATCCAGGCCATATTTTCCAAGATGCTAGGACCCAAGCCACAGGGTGTCTGGATGGGCATACTGACTGGAGTTGGCAGCTTCAGTCGTATCATGGGTCCTATATTCGTCTCCTACGTGTACACGGACTTCGGCACCAGATGGTGCTTTGGAATCCTGAGCTGTGGAATGGTTCTGGCTCTTGTGGATTTAATCGTTTTTTACAAACGCCTCATCCCGATGAAGCTGCCAGATGTGAATAACAAGCACGCGTACGACGGCCCGGCATCTGAGAGATCCTAGTTGCTATCCGATTAGATTTTATTGACTTGATATGGAATATTATTTAGAATGTAATTCAAATATAATTCGTTTTACTATACAGAGATATTTGTTTACGCAACTTCTTTGATAACGCTTATTCTTAATGGTATATGAAGCAGTACAATTGGTCATAATTCTTTATGTAAACAGCGGGCGTGCACATAATTTAAATTGAAATAAGTTTATTGAGGTAAAATACACACAAAGGGATGAGGTAGCTCAAGCTATTCTCACCCCGTTCAGTACATCGTGTTAATACATACATATACACACATCACAAACAATAAACATATTACCAAACATTCTGAGAGATAAACATCTACATTTCCTAGAGGCGTGCACATAGACAGACAGATACACACACAAACATACTCTAAAAAGGACACCAAAACAGATGGAAATATTTGTCTCTTCAAGGTTGAAAGGGGATGGGGAGGAAGGGTAGGGAGATAGCAGAGATAGAAGGAATGGAGGTGAAAATAGGGAAGATTTGAAAAAAGAGAGGGGGGGGGGGGCTGGGAAGAGGGAAAAATGGGGATGGAACATGGGACGTTAAAGGGAAAAGGAAGGAAGGAAGAAAGAAGGATGGAATGAGGGAGAAACAGACTATCTCAGGGCACTATGGGCATCCCTCCTGGCATAGATATATATGATGCCCTGTAAGGGAGGCAAGCATGTCGTGTAGGAACACACATTGCTAACACATCATCAGTAGAGTGCAACACCAATACAATACTGTATTGTAGATTGATACAATACAATACTGTATTGTAGATTGATACAATACAATACTGTATTGTAGATACAATAACAGTATTGTAGATACAATAACAGTATTGTAGATACAATACTGTTATTGTATCTACAAGTATAGTAGATACAATAACAGCATTTGGCAGTGTTCAGAAGAACAGAACACCACCAGAACAGTAATAGTGGTGTTCTCTTACATGCAAAAAGACTGAAAAACAAATAATAAATACTGATGTTATGCGGGTTGCCTCCCGATAGGCTCAGGGTCATGAGGTTAAAGTGCATTAAAGATCTTGAATAAGTTGAATGATAAGCTCATCGTGGAAATCACGGACCCCCAGTGGGACCAAATTCCTGTTCCAGTGCCTCAGCCTTGCAATTTCCTGTCCAATGCTTCCATTGTAATGCATTGCAATGCTTTCTGTGTCCCTGACACACGTTCGACCTCAAAGCAGCTGCAGGCGTTTTAAATTTTTAATTTTATTTATTTTAAATAAATTCAGGAAAGTCATTTAGGAATATAACATGAATGTAACATGTAATTTAACTCTGCCACATAAAAATGGGGAGGCAGGAGAAAATAAAATGTTCACTGGTTATATTGTGGAGCCCAAGAAATTTAGGTGTAGAATGACATAGCTACTTCGTGATATAGCGTCTAACCGTCTCTGCGTTCAGAGGAGCTACTGATCCAATGGCTAGAAGCAGTGCGTGCTTTTAGCAACCTTTCAGATATGTTTTTTTTTTTTTTTTTGAGATATATACAAGAGTTGTTACATTCTTGTAGAGCCACTAGTACGCGTAGCGTTTCGGGCAGGTCCCTGGAATACGATCCCCGCCGGGAAGCATCGTTGTTACAACCAAGTACACATTTTACTGTTGCGTTAAACAGAGGCTACAGTTATGGATTTGCGCCCATTAAATCCTCCCCGGCCAGGATACGAACCCATAACAAAGCGCTCGCGGAACGCCAGGCGAGTGTCTTACCACTACACCACGGAGACTGTTACCCCACCTTCTGATATGTGAGGGAATGAACACTATTTTCACCACAAGCTTATTTATCCAAGTGCTTTGCTGCCGGCGGACTAGTAGAGAAGATTCCAATAGAGTAATTTACAGATTAGGCTGAAACCCCCGATGCAAGGGTCACTGAAGAATTACGCAACAATGGCAGTAATGTGAAATCGAAGAGAAAATTACCTATTCAAACACCGATTACTGACGAAACAGATGTATCTCGCCTAATGCTTTAAAAAGTAAACATGTCATTTTATACTGTAAGTGCCGAGGATACATTGTCTGGAAAGCCTTCCCCCGAGAACTGTCCCATAAGTATATGTCATTCTTAAACTCGAACTAGTGTTTGTTTAGCGAGTGTGTGAAGGAATGTGCCATGTTTAGCGAGTGTGTGAAGGAATGTTCCATGTTTAGCGAGTGTGTGAAGGAATGTGCCATGTTTAGCGAGTGTGTGAAGGAATGTGCCATGTTCAGCGAGTGTGTGAAGGAATGTGCCATGTTTAGCGAGTGTGTGAAGGAATGACTGGTATTGGCAATACTGTGGCATTTGTTTTCTATTGTAGTCTGGTAAAGGGCAATAAATTTTAGTAGTGCCGAAGTGACAGTAAATGCGGTTCTTAATCGAGTACAGTCTGAATGTCACTCATTTGTTCCCAGCGCGCTACGGAGTATATACTATGTTTGGGAAAATACCCTGGGTTTATATGTGGGAAAATACTCGGGAATACCCCAGAGCATAGGTTCGAATCCTCATCATGGCTTTAGTTATATTATAATTATATTGGTTGACGAGAAAGCACTTTCGATGATGATAAGCTAACAGAATGATATTGTAATTTGGAAAATACAGAGATAAAAATACAAAAACAATGTTCAGATTCAGCTGACATCATGGGATGAAAGTTTTATCCTTAAATACCCTTTTAATAAGATTCAGATGATGAGTCACAATAACGAGGCTGATGAGTTAACACCCAACCGACTCATCTGAATCATATAACTCGACCCAGAATTAGCATCATTATTATTATTGCCATATTGAAAACTGTACGCGCTCATCACGCAAAAATTAAGAAATATATATAATCAAAATACTGATCCTTTAAAATTTAAAAACAAAATTATATTACTTATAGAGTTAATGGCTTGTGTGTTGATAAGCCGAGCAAAATATTTCTATAAGCAAGTGCGAGTACGGGTTGGGTTATATATGAAGTATTCCTGCAGTGTTAGTGATATTGTAGGTGTGAGGGGAAGAAAGGAATAGGGAGAGAAGGGGACAAAGAGGGGGGAGAAGAAACGGGTGAGAGGGGAGAAAGGGAGGTGAAAAAGTTGGCAAAGAGGGAGAGAAAGGAGGAATAAAAGGGGAAGAGACAAACGTTAACTTGGAGATCTCTTACCCCCTTCTAGTATTAAGCAATAAGATAAGGTTAATTCAGGTTAATAATACTTAAAGATAATACAATATTCCGTTTTTTAATAATAATAATAATAATATACATCATAGTGTTTGAAACAATTAAATGTAATTAAATTTAATTTAAAACAATCTCTAATGCCAATAAGTTTACAATACATATATACTGTCAGCACATTACAAGTCGTCTCACATGTACCATTAAAAATAACAATACAACTGTAATTATTATTTATGTTAATGATTACATTACGAACCAAATTACAATTTATATAAAAAATCTCAATTTAAATTGCAAATATTATAAATTATTTTTCAAATAACATTAAGATACATATAAAATCTCATAAAACCCAGCACAAAGAGTCATAATGAAAATATCTTAATAAATTCTTACCTTTATAACCACTTGTATACAACTTGTATACACCAAGACATGCACTCGGGAACTACTAGTGAGAGACAAACATACATTAGTGTGACTTCTCAAGGCACTACGGGCTCACCATAGCCCGTGCTACTTGGAACTTCTTGTTCCAGGTAGCGAATCTTTAACAACAACATGCAATAGTGAACATTTTTGTCTTTGTATACAAGACAGACATTCACTCGGAAACCATGGATAAGACATTCACGAATGTGAGACATTAAATACTTGGGAACATTTATAGAAAAACGGATATTCACTCGGGAACATGTATAGAAAACAGACATTCACTTGGAATATGTATATAAAACAGACATTCACTTGGGGACATATAGAAAATAAATTTACTCGGAAACATGTATAGAAAACAGACATTCACTCGAAAACATGTATAGACAACAGACATTCACTTGGGAACATATATAGAAAACAGACATTCACTCAAAAACATGTATAGAAAACAGACATTCACTCGGGAACTTGTATAGAAAACAGACATTCACTCGGAAACATGTATACAAGACAGACATTCACTCAGGTACTAAAGATATGTGACAAGTAACATAACAGAAAGTGGGGATATGGAAGAATAATTAAAGACATAGGGGAACTATTTAAAACTTAAGAAAATGTTTGAGGCTTATAAGATAAATTCCCAAAGTTGATTCCATGCAATAGGAAAGTAAATAATGGTCTGCAATATACGAGGACTCTCTCGGAAATATACTCGAGAGCAAAACAAATATTCCAAGGGCGCCCTGATGGTATAACAGGTGCATAGAGGTAAGTGGACGCAAATCAAATTATGCTAGGAATAAGCTTGAGGCATCATGGTAATATAAATACAAGAAGCATACTAAAATAATATTAGTGGCAAATATCAAAAGAAGCCCACAGGTATTGTAGGGCATACTATTGGAATACTAACTATATCATTCGTGTACACGAACGGTGTTTACTACAAAGGGAGGAGGTTAAGGATCAGAGAGTATGATATTAGGGATTAAATAAAAACCAATAAACGAAAGACTAAGCAAGTGGGCGAAGGAAGTGATTGATTGGGAAAAGGAGGAGATTAAGTCATAAATAAGACTCCCTTCTAAGGCAGTTGATCGTCTACCTTAGTATATTATATAATTATAATGTAAAAACAGACGATGGCGTCCTCGACAGCTAACCTTCTGTAAAATAAAGCTTGATCAACTGGTTGGCACACTAGACACGCTGAAACATAGTAATTAGCAGTGATAATAACAGCCCAGAATATCCAGGTTACAGAAGCCTCTTTAATTAAAAAAAACTGCATTGTCCTAATTTTACTTATTACATGGTTAAGAGAGGTGACCGGCTCTTTACGGATTTTCTCACTGATAGTACGTCACGTTAGTGTAATTTCTCTGTGTATCGACTGAAACCCCTTTTACAACATTTCCTAAAATTTGATTTTGAATTTATTTTCGTGAATATTGATACAATGGGTTCCTATTTTAAATTTATGGATAGGGTGCCTACTTCCCTGTGTTCTGGTATCGTATGTCTGTATAAATGTTAATGATTACAACATTGTAATGATGGATACGTTGGAAGGTCCATTGGGAACTTTCAGATTAGGATACTGGAGCACATGGGAATATCGTTCATGGCTTACCACTACTTATGCCAGCATTTTCAGAGATTAGAAATCTTTGAAACGAGATGAATCCTTCTTTGCATGATTCACATTTTAAAATCTTGAACACATGCACGAATGACCTGTTGGATTTTACAATAATGGAATCTTTATATATCAGGCAGCAACGGTCTCTGTGCTAAATAATGCTGGTTCAGCTGCTCAATTGTATGCTGGTAAATCACAGTAAACCTTTCGTTGGTACGTTATGTAGATTTTGTGATGTATACGCTTTAGTTTCCCCCTAATTTGTGACTTTTGGTACTCATTTTCAGTGACGGATTGTTTCATAGTTATATTTGTTTAATTAGGCAATGCAGTATATAAATTGATGCTCGGTATTATGTAATATTTAAGCTTCTTACAAGATTTTTAAATCCTAATCTAAAATTTGTATTAAATAGTTTTGCTTTGTATAAGATTTTTAATATTTGAAATTATAATTTCGAAGTAGTTGCGGGTATCATTTTTAGATCACATATGCTTCTATCTTTTAAGGTAAGTTGAATTGTCTTTTGTTTTATCTTTTTGTAAAATGGATTATTTGTATTTATCTTATTAATATGTATGTCTCTCAAGTTTGCGTCCTTGTATTGCTGGTTAATTTTAAATTTTTAGATCTGAGGATGAATACGAGAAATAATCGTAACGTCATAAATTTTAATTTTAAAATAAAGAAGAATTTAACAAGATGTTAGTCATGTCAATTGTTCTATCTCCTAATTTGCTATTTATTAAACAGTGACGTTTGCTAAGCTGTGTGTGTGTGTGTGTGTAGTCACAGATTTTGTGCCGGCAGGATCGAACATTAGCTCCTGGACCCCACCTTTCCATTTGCCGGTTGTCTAATACAATGACTCCCTGACCTGTTTCCTTATCCCATCTACTTTTTGAATGGAGTTTCCTTCCTGCTCCTTTAGTTCGGTTTATTTTCCCACTATTACGCTAAACGAAAACTTTCTAATATTTCTTTGACTCATCTGAGTCTCAAACTTCCATCCATGTCGTACTATTGGTATTCATAGTGAACATTTCCTATTTTTTTCACTCTGTCAGTCCCCCGATGTGTTTAATACGGCTATATCATGTATCGCATCTCTCTCCTATTTTCTAGGGTCGTCAGGTTTTGTTCCTTCAGTCTCTCTTCACCAACTCAACTACCTTCCGTCTCACTGTAGGTAGCTGAGTCTGATTGAGCAACGTTATTGTGACTCATCTATAATCATACTAGTTAGGTATGTTATGGATAAATATATCATGCCTGGTTCATAGCCAGCGAGCCTGAATCACCCATAAATATTCGGGTCATTCCTTATCATCAATTGAGCATGATCAGTGAGAATTTACATTGAATCGTAAATTGTTTGTAGCACACGCAGTATTCTGTGAATCACATGGCTGTTTCCTGTGTGGCATATGATTGGATCACGAAACATTCTTTCAGAATGACAGCTACGTTATCTGATTCCCAGATAATACGCATAAAGCACTTATTGTTTCGGTGAATGATGAATAAATTGCCTGGTTTACGAATAACCTCACCTGAAGTCGGGATAACGTTAATGAATCACGAAGAATTTACCTCGCTAATTAATACTCTGCCTGAATTGTGGACAATTTCTTTTAAACAGGAACATTTTTATTATATCACAGATAATATATCTGAATTTCAGATAATATGCGAGAACTTAAAAGATTCTTCCTGAACTCAAATACTATCCTCTGAACAAATCCACAAGGGCCGTGACGAGGATTCGAATCTGCGTCCAAGAGCATCCCAGACAGGTTCGAATCCTCGTCACGGCCCTTGTGGATGTGTTCATTTGATACATCGCGTTAGTGTGATCTCTGTGTGTACTCTCCTCTGTTCCTATTAATCTTCGTTAACTACAAATTTTCTGTTCAAATGACACAAATCTGTTTTTATTCCCTATAACATCACATGGGATGGACGGTAGAGCGACGGTCTCACTTCATGCAGGTCGGCGTTCAATCCCCGACCGTCTAAGTGGTTAGGCACCGTTCCATTCCCCCACCGTCCAATCCCAAATCCTTATCCTGATCCCTTCCCAGTGCTATATAGTCGTAATGACTTGGTGCTTTCGCCTGATAATCCCCCCCCCCCTTCCAACACAAATTAGCGTCTCTGAAATCAATAATTACTTAATTAATCTCGAACAACCTACCAGTGACTTGCGTCGTGGATGATGCTCCGCTAACTGATGCTGTTGTTACGGCTTCTGTTGTTTCTGCGGCTACTGTTGAAGTGGCTGTTGTGTCCGGTGATACGACGGTTATTCCTGTTGGGGTATTTACAACAGTAGTCGCCGTGGTTGTTATTGAATTCACAACCGTTGTTGTAGTTGTCGCCGGCGAACTCTCGGCTAGAGCTGTAGTTTCTCGTGGCAGATTTGTAGTTATATGAGGCGGCGCTGTTGTAGATGCGTCTTGTTGTGTTGTAGTTTTAGCTTGTTGGGTCGCTGTTGTAGGTGCGTCTTGATGTGTCACTGTTGTATTTTTAGCTTGTTGGGGCGCTGTTGTAGATGCGTCTTGATGTGTCACTGTTGTAATCTTAGCTTGTTGGGGCGCTGTTGTAGGTGCGTCTTGATGTGTCACTGTTGTAGTCTTAGCTTGTTGGGGCGCTGTTGTAGGTGCGTCTTGATGTGTCACTGTTGTAGTCTTAGCTTGTTGGGGCGCTGTTGTAGGTGCGTCTTGATGTGTCACTGTTGTAGTTTCAGCTTGTTGGGACGCTGTTGTAGTTGTAGCTTGAGGTATAACACTTGTAGTTGTAGACTGATGTATTTCTGCTAAAGCTGTAGTGGTAGCGTGCACCAGTGTTGTTCCAGCGTCTCCGGCAAGCGATTCAATGCGAGCTTGACACAGAGCATCACAGAAATCGGATGTGCAGTCGGCATTACAGTATCCTCTCCACCCCTGTTTACTCTCACTAGTTCTGCATGTTGGCAACCCGCTGGTCGTCGTCACACAGGCTTCCACACACTCCCCGGGCTTCGTACCTGTCGTTGCCGAGCAGGCTGCGTGAGAGGACGTCGTCCAGAGCGACCAGAGGAGGAGAGGCAACAGAGGCAACATCTTTGGCCAGGACACTCTGGTCCAACCAAGTGGTGGTACTAGAGGCCGGGGACGAGAGGCGAAGAGTGACAGTGACTACTCTTTGTTGTTTTGATTATAATAACTACCTCCCTCTCGTGGTGAGTTACGAGGATATCTCTTTTTTAAATGTTATCTTGCTTTAGAGCGCAGACATTTAGGGCGCTTACTGGATAGGCGTTTTCTATAATAATTACTAACTGTCCGAGCTTCAATTGAATTTTGATATGAGGTACTTAATCAACATTTAATTGGTTTAGCGCTTCTTGACTACACGGGAGACCTGCCTCGCTTCTCTGCAAGGTAAAACAGAATTAAATATGTATTAGTAATTCTTAGACTTGAGAGTTGTAAATGCAAAATTCATCATCATTTTCATCGCCTCCCGGTCTTTGACTTTTATTGTATGAAAAGGCATTAGTTTATGTTTTGCCGGTTCTGTACTGAAGCATCACGCACAGATGCTATCCTCACATCACAGTAGAACACCCAAAGTAGCTCCCACACCCTGCCATACACCCAAAGTAGCTCCCACACCCTGCCATACACCCACAGCAGCTCCCCCACCCTGCCATACACCCACAGCAGCTCCCCCACCCTGCCATACACCCACAGCAGCTCCCCCACCCTGCCATACACCAACAGCAGCTCCCTCACCCTGCCATACACCTACAGCAGCTCCCCCACCTTGCCATACACCCACAACAGCTCCCTCAACCTGCCATACACCCACAGGAGCTCCCCACCCTGCCATACACTCACAGCAGCTCCCCCACCTTGCCATACACCCACAGCAGCTCCCCCACCCTGCCATACACTCACAGCAGCTTCCCCCCACCCTGCCATACACCCACAGCAGCTCCCCCCACCTTGCCATACACCCACAGCAACTCCCCCACCCTGCCATACACCCACAGCAGCTTCCCCCCCCCACCCTGCCATACACCCACAGCAGCTCCCCCACCTTGCCATACACCCACAGCAACTCCCCCACCCTGCCATATACCCACAGCAGCTCCCCCACCCTGCCATACACCCACAGCAGCTCCCTCACCCTGCCATACACCCACAGCAGCTCCCCCACCTTGCCATACACCCACAGCAGCTCGTCCACCCTGTCATACACCCACAGCAGCTCCCACACCCTGCCATACACCCACAGCATCTCCCACACCCTGCCATACACCCACAGCAGCTCCCCCACCTTGCCATACACCCACAGCAGCTCCCCCACCCAGCCATACACCCACAGCAGCTCCCCCACCCTGCCATACACCCACAGCAGCTCCCCCACCCTGCCATACACCCACAGCAGCTCCCCCACCCTGCCATACACCCACAGCAGCTCCCTCACCCTGCCATACACCCACAGCAGCTCCCCCACCTTGCCATACACCCACAGCAGCTCCCACACCCTGCCATACACCCACAGCAGCTCCTCCCCCACCCTGCCATACACCCACAGCATCTCCCCCACCCTGCCATACACTCACAGCAGCTCCCCCACCTTGCCATACACCTACAGCAGCTCCCCCACCCTGCCATACACCCACAGCAGCTCCCTCACCCTGCCATACACCCACAGCAGCTCCCCCACCCTGCCATACACCCACAGCAGCTCCCCCACCCTGCCATACACCCACAGCAGCTCCCCCACCTTGCCATACACCCACAGCAGCTCCCCCACCCTGCCATACACCCACAGCAGCTTCCCCCACCCTGCCATACACCCACAGCATCTCCCCCACCCTGCCATACACCCACAGCAGCTCCCCCACCCTGCCATACACCCACAGCAGCTCCCTCACCCTGCCATACACCCACAGCAGCTCCCCCACCCTGCCATACACCCACAGCAGCTCCCCCACCCTGCCATACACCCACAGCAGCTCCCCCACCCAGCCATACACCCACAGTAACAAACACAAACATTCAGAACTGTGGTGTACACTCCACTACACAAAACATGTTTAATTATTTTGTAAAACTGTGTTTAACATATTACTATCATGTCTATCATGATTTACTGTACATTAACTGTCTCTTGTTATCCATCATATATATTTAGATAAACAATATTTAAGGTCAGCTTTGGCCTGAGTCAGTCACTGACCTGGTCTGTGGTAATTTTACTCAGTCACTGATCTGGTCTTTGGTGACCTTGAGAGGAGGGGGCAGCAGTATTTTCCAAAATATATAAATAAAATATATGGCCTCCTCCCGTTCCTCACCTCTGAAGAGAGATGTTCTGAATTCGTGGGACGTGAACACAGGTTTTCGCACATTCCTTTGTTATTAAAAAGTCACAGAGAATGGGACATAATGCGACAGGGAATTAATTTCTCAACTCACCGGATCGACTACTGGACTAGGTCTCACTGGGGGAAACTGAAGCAAATAGCCTCTACAGTGGCTGCTTCGGGAGCGCATGTAACTCACACCCTCTCTCGGCGACGCCCGGATCCGCTCTGAGAGTGGGAGAGGTGCGGACCAACACTGCACGAAACGAGCGAGAAATCTACCGTCTCATACACATTTTAACATACAAACACTAGCATATGTAAAAAAACGTTTGTATTAGCAGTAATACAACACACTGATATTTGAACAAGAACAAAGATTTAGACTAATACAAAAATAAAGGCTAAACATTACATACATGACAGTCACCATCGTAGCAATGAAGTCAGATATTTTCCTCATACACATAACTCACGTGATCCCATCATTGTATTGATACCATCCTTTCCTACACCTGTTGCTATATAGTCGTAATGGCTTGGCGCTTTCCCCCTGATAGTTCATTTCCTTTCCTTCCTGCACCTGTTTAATACAGACTTAAACTGCTCGAGAGAGAGAGAGAGAGGGAGAGGGAGTACAGATATTTACATTCAATAGATACCTAAGATTTTAGAAGTACAACATACATACCACAATGTCTAAATGCAAGAGATCTTAAAGCATCAGTACCATAACCAAAATATTTTGTTTGAATACCGTTTTTTAGTTAATACTAATTATAGAAATACGTTCTTCAATTTCCTCTTGTTTGTTGTTTAAGATTCGCTACTTGGAACAAGTTCCAAATAGCACGGGCTATGTAAGCCCGTTAAGCTTGTTTATAGTCAGTATATTTTATGAAGTGTAAGTCTAGTTGTTGTTTTAGATTCATAACTATAGCAATATGTTATATAATTCTTTACTAATAATTTACTATATTAAGGTATACTAATAACAAATGAATTTATTATTACTATTATAATTTTTGTTGTTAGAATATATAAATAATATAACACTTGTATATATAATGTACTATTTATTCATCATCATTTAGACTATATTATTTTGATGCGAGCAAACAATATTTCACGGTAGAGGACCTTTTATTTACATTAGTGATATACATGATAACGCTACACTAGCAATATATTATATAATTCTTTACTAATAATTTTCTATATTAAGTTATACTAATAACAAATGCATTTATTATTTTTTTTTTGTTATTGAAATAAATATATAAATAACATAACAGTTGTATATATAATGCATTATTTGTTTATCATCGTTTAAATTCTGTATAATTTTGATGGGAACAAATAGTTCTTAATTTGTTGCTGTTCTTAAAGATTCGCTACCTGAAACAAAACGGTCCAAGCAGCACAGGCTGTGGTGAGCCCGTATGTATAGTTCTTAATTATTAAGGACGTTTACTTATACTAAAAATATACATGTTAAAGCTACATGAGCAACATATTATACAATTCTTTACTGATAATTTATTTTACCATTTACTGCAAATAAAATATTTATTTATTATTAAGAGTATATTTTTTGTATTATTACAATAAATATACAAATAATATATCATTTGTTTGCATGTATAACATTTAATACATTACTCGTTAATCGTCATCTTGACTCTATATCATTTTGATGTTCCGTTGACCCCACTTTCGCGTGTGTCGACTTGTTGACAGAACATTTTCCAAAAGTGTTTACAACCAGTACGTGGTTGCGTGGCAGGTCGACTTCTATTTGTCCACCAAGTCACTATGTGTGGTAGTAGTCCACAGAATTATTCTGATAAAGACCGGTGATACCATTTGTTTTATATATATAAAACCATTTTGCAGCGATCGTTTCTCTAGGACTATATGCTTTATAATGAACCTCCAGTCAGAACTGTATATATATACTTTTGAAGAGAACCATGATTATATTGCGATATTAATATTGATTATATTGCTATCAATATTCTTATATAATTGTTACAGTGTCAGACCACGGAGGAAAATTGAAACAGGAATTTCCTTAAGTACTTTCGTATATTAATACATCTTCCGAAGGAGTCGCTGACTCCTTCTGAAGATGTATTAGTATACGAAAGTACTTAAGGAAATTCCTGTTTCAATTTTCCTCCGTGGTCTGACACTGTCACATTTTTAATCACGTGTTTATTTTCGTGATTTACACACTTATATAATTGTTATATCTTAAACAACAGCTTGATTGACAGTTTACTTTGAATTTGTATAGGAACATTTCAATATTGAACAGTTGCTCCTACCTCGAAGACCCAACACAATCCTTTGTGTCTGTATTACTAAGAATAGATTTCGTGTATGTAGGTGCTTGCAGATGTATTTTTAACAAAATTCGAAATGTTTATATTGGACGATAAATAATAGATAATTTAGGGGTCAATAATAAACCGGCCATTACTAGAGAAGTGTGCATGTACCCCTTTAATCCCAACGCCATACACCACCTGCCCTGTGGGCCCCTGTAGTATTTAACTTAATATGGTGTTTTTTACTAGAGTAAATTTACACCTGGTGTGTAGCTCTCTTGAGTATATTACTTCATCAGGTATGTGTGGCTCCCTGGGGTGTATTGCTCCACCTTGTGTATGGCTCTCTGGCACGGTAGAGCGACGGTCTCGCTTCATACAGGTCAGCGTTCAATCCCCGACCGTCCAAGTGGTTGGGCACCATTTCTCCCCCACCGTCTCATCCCAAATCCTTATCCTGAACCCTTCCCAGGGCTATATAGTCGTAATGGCTTAGCACTTTCCCCCCCTGATAATTCTCTCCCTCCGGTATATAATACATGAAATATTATGCTTGAGTGTTAAAGGTGAGTCTAATTGAAGGTGACTAGCTATATTTTAAGATTTAAATTCGAACACATTATAAGGACATTTGACCATAAGTGGTAACGGAGATTTTTCGCATTTCAACCAAATTGACTTCAAGTTTGGAAAAATAGATATTCAAAAT